ATCGAAGATTCGAGGGAGTTATTAACCATTAATACCCACCGTGGACTTTACCAGTTTAGCCGATTACCTTTTGGCGTAAAACCAGCTCCAGCAATTTTCCAACAGTTTATGGATACCATGTTGTCTAACCTTGAAGGTGTAGCAGTTTATTTGGACGATATTATAGTTGTTGCCTCTTCTGCTCACGAACTAATGAGTCGGTTAGACGTAGTGTTTAATAGAATATCGCAAGCTGGTTTTCAATTACAAAAAGAAAAGTGTCAATTTATGCTAGATTCTGTTAAATATCTTGGATATATATTTGATAAAGATGGTCGCCGGCCAGATCCAGATAATATAAATGCCATCAAAAATATGCCCACACCAACTGATGTTACAACTCTACGTTCATTCTTGGGGATGATTGGATATTATAGTATGTTCGTACCCCAGATGTATAAATTGAGACACCCGTTAAATCAACTTTTGATGGCTAATGCAAAATGGTACTGGACAAAAGAATGCCAATATTCTTTCGACGAAATAAAAAGAATTTTATCTTCTAAATTATTGTTGACTCATTACAATCCTAATCTTGAAATAATTGTTGCCGCTGATGCTTCCAACTATGGAATTGGGGCTGTTATCAGCCATCGTTTTCCTGATGGTAAAGAAAAGCCGATTGCTCATGTATCCCGAACACTTAACCCAGCTGAACGAAAATATAGTCAAATTGAAAAAGAAGGATTAGCTATAGTTTTTGCAGTAAAGAAATTTCATAAAATGATTTATGGACGTCGATTTACTCTTCTAACAGATCACAAGCCGCTTTTATCTATATTTGGATCGAAGTCAGGTATTCCTGCATATACAGCTAATCGATTACAACGCTGGGCTATTACACTACTTGCTTATGATTTCCGAATTCTATATAAATCAACTGAAAAGTTTGGACAAGCTGATGTTTTATCTCGATTAATTGCGAATCAGAAGCAGGAAAGCGAAGATTCTATTATTGCAACGATATCATTGGAAGAAGATATCCACCAAATACTACAAGTTGCTATAAAAGCAACACCATTATCCGCTGAAGATATTAGACGCTACACTCAAGAAGATGGCGAGCTGAAACGGATTATAAGTTACCTTGAACATGGTTGGCCTTCTCATATAGACAACAAAAATATTGAACAGTATGCTCACCGACGAAATTCTTTATCGCTCGTGGACGGGTGCCTAATGTTTGGAAATCGAGTTATTGTACCCACAAGCCTACGCCGGAAGGTGATGTTAGAACTGCACGCTGCACACCCAGGGGTAGCGCGGATGAAAGCACTTGCACGCGGTTATGTATATTGGCCGAATATTGATGCGCAGATTGAAGAATATGTTGCAAAATGTTCAGCATGTGCAAAAGCCATGAAAGCCCCTCGCAAGACCGAAATGCAGAGTTGGGGAACACCATCAAATCCGTGGTCAAGAGTTCATGTAGATTTTGCTGGTCCTATAAACGGTAAACAGTTCTTGATAATCATTGATGCTTTCTCTAAGTGGCCAGAAGTCCACTATATGAAATATGTCTCAACACAAGCTACAGTGAAGAAACTGAGGCAAGTATTCAGTTGTTTTGGGTGTCCAGATATATTGGTGTCAGACAATGGACCACAGTTTACCTCTGCTGAATTTTCGAGGTTCTGCATTGCCAATGCCATTAGGCATATCAAGACACCCCCATACCATCCACAGTCTAACGGCTTAGTCGAAAGGTTCGTGGACACTTTTAAAAGAGCATTGCTTAAAGCCGAAGGGGAAGGAGAAATAGAAGATATAATTCAACGATTTTTACTAAGCTACCGCGCAACTCCCAACCCAGCAACAAATAATCAAGAAAGCCCGGCAGAAGTAATTTTTGGAAGAAAGATTAGAATACCTATGGAACAAATGAAGCCAAAACCTGAAGTCATTCAATGCAAGAATAAACGAATGGAACTGCAATTTAACAAAAGGCATGGTGCCTTACCCAGAAGGTTTAATGTAGGACAAGCAGTAATGGCAAGAGATTTCCAGGGAGTAAAGCCAACCTGGAAATTTGGCATCATAGTCCGAAGAAAAGGGAAAGTTATTTATGAAGTGAAAGTTGGACAAAAGATATGGGTACGACATGCAAACCAGATACAGCCGACCAGACAGGAGTGGGAGATAGAAAGTGATAGAAAGCATGATATACCATTAAATATATTAACCGAGTCGGATAATGAAATTAAAAAGGACCCGAATAAAAAGAAAACGTGTACTACACTCCCAAGGCTGTCGCAGCGCATCAGGCGGAAACCTAATCGTATAAAAATAAATCCCAAGGATCGCTATTATCCAAGAATCTTCAAAAAAGGGGAGGTGTTATGTAGTAGCGAAGTACGGGTAACTAGATTATCTATATCTATATTCATCTTATTGTAAGTTCCATTTTGACATATTGATTATTATTGTATGATTTACTGTTCCTAAGTTATGCTCAGTTTATTGATTATTGTCTCCCACGCTTACAGCCTCATTTGGCCTGGTTTTGTACAAATATAATTTTCTATTTTATGGTGTGGTGTGGTCTGCCTGTCTGGTATATAGATAAAGTATGTTTGAAATAAACGATTCGCATTACAGCAGCTGCTATTGGTGATTTTGGACTCAAGTGGACGGGTAGGCGGATAAGGACCAATAAGGACGCTAGATTACTCATATTAATCGAACGTCATTGTCACAGTGTGAAGGTCGTAGAAGGCGTATTCTATTGGTGGATCATTTACGAGAATTACGTCCTTGTTAAATTCGTAAGGTCATAACGAATCAGCGACGACCTTGATCAAGTCATAACAATTGGCTATAGCCTAGATCAAATCATAACAGTTATCAAGCTCGTAAACCTGTGGAGCCTTTAAATCATTTTGGTCGCTCCTCCTTGAAGCTGTTGTAGCTGTAAATAATTCCCCAAAATCAATAGTTCATTAAGTGTTCGACATTGGATGCTGACCACGTGTTTAAGTGGACTTGTTTAGCTGAAGGCTTTCGGTCATGCATCCGCACCAGATCACGTTTCGACTCGGCGTGGGACACTGCTCCTACGTTTCATTAGCCAGCTCATAGAAAAGGTCCTTGATATATTGGTAACAAATCAAATATATCTTTCCTGCCTCTTCTCGTCTGACTTCTGATTTCTATCTGACTGGGAACAATCGAATTTAGAAGGTGCTACTGGTATCTAGTTGTAAAACTAGAATATCCGTTGCATCATCATTGGTGAACCCGACGTGATCTGGTACACCAAGTCAATATACTGTGAGTCTGTTCCATTTTGGAATATTATTATTCATTGTTATTCTTTATTTGAATTTTATATATTGTGATATACTTTTTTTCGCAGTTTTTTTTTCTCGGATATATTTTACTTAGACATTTTTCGATATCTATATTACTATGACGGAACACTCTCCTAAGGTTCTTAAGTTTAAATCTATTCCCCCTATTTCGATTCAGTTAACGCCATTTTGGCCCGACAATATCGAGTCCTGGTTCTGCTATGCAGAAGCCGATTTTAGTATGCACGGAATCACGGACTCGCGCACACGTTTCCTCGCGTTAGTTAAGGCGTTACCGCGCGAGTTTAACAGGTACGTAACACCTAGTATGTTCACTAGTGATGTTCCCGAACCTTACGAAACGCTTAAGCTATCGATTTTAAAACGACGAGACCTAACTGATCGACAACGGTTAGACCAACTCCTTAACAATATCGACTTGCAACTTGGTTCTGCGACGGACATGTTGCTTAGAATGAGAGAAGTCATCGGCCAACGAACTTTCGATGTTGGCATATTTAGACAACTTTTCTTGTCTAAACTCCCTCAACAGGTGCAGGCAGTGCTTGTTTCATTTCAAAACAATGCCATAGATGAACTAGCTGCATCTGCCGATCGAATCTTGGAAATCACTAGATCTTCTAAGGCCGAGGTTTTTTCCGTCAAGGAAAAACCCCAATCGACCTCGACTGACATGGCCGAACTATGTCACACGCTTACACGATATCTTAGAGTTCGCAATGACCGTAGTCGGTCAAAAACCTCGCGTAGAAGCGCCTCACGTAAGCGATCTAGCTCTCGACCACGAGAGACAGACAATCCCGACTGGTGCTGGTATCATAACCAGTACGGTAAGTCTTCCAGAAATTGCAGGAAACCTTGCAATTATCCGACTTCAAAATCGACTGACACGAATAAGATTTCGGGAAACTTCCCAGCCGGCACGCGTTAACGGCAACCGTAGCCGGCGAACACAGCCGTCTGTTATACGTCACGGATGTGACTACGAAAGTTCGCTACCTCGTCGACACTGGCGCAGAAGTTAGCGCTCTTCCAGCAAATCCCGACGACAGACTTCGCGAGTCTGTTTTAAGTTTACAGGCGGCAAACGGAAAGCCGATCGCTACTTACGGTAAAAGGTACGTCTACCTTAACGTGGGTTTACGCAAACCCATACACTGGATTTTCGTGGTTGCAGATGTCTCTATGCCAATCAATGGTATAGACCTATTACAACACCACAATCTACTCATCGACACACGCTCACGAAAGTTAATAGACGGAAACACTAAGTTATCTGTTAGCGTAACTCCTTGTTCTGGTTGCAGGTTATCCCCAGTCACGATTAAGCACACCATAGACCCCTTGTACCAATCAGTACTCGACAAATACCCCGGAATATACCAATCGCAATCGAAATTGCCTTGTGTAACCAGCAATGTTACACATCACATCTCGACTACAGGACCACCTGTATTTTCGAAAGCTCGAAGACTCGCTCCCGAGAAGCTTAGGTTAGCTAAAAACGAATTCGACCACATGATGGATCTAGGGATAATTTGACCATCGAATAGTCCATGGGCATCCCCATTGCACATGGTCCCTAAAAAGGACAGCAATGATTGGCGGCCAACTGGTGATTATCGGCGTCTGAATGCTAAAACCATTCCCGATCGTTACCCGCTGCCTCATATTCACGATTTGACAGCTACCTTGAAAGGTATATATATATCTTTCCTGCCTCTTCTCGTCTGACTTCTGATTTCTATCTGACTGGGAACAATCGAATTTAGAAGGTGCTACTGGTATCTAGTTGTAAAACTAGAATATCCGTTGCATCATCACTGTCCAAACAAATATATGGTTTATGTAAGAAATAATTACTCATGTGTTTTTAGGAAATAATGACAGATTTCGTTCTCCCGATGACTCTAGAATAATTCTACAAAACATTCATACTAGTTTGGAAACTTATGACGTGCATAAACTGAAGTAAATCTAGACGCCCTAAACACTGTCCGTTCCACACTGTGGCTAATTTTAACTAAATAATCTTACTGAGCTCACTTATTGAAAAAAGGTAGGTATTTATCAGACAAGTACCGAATACGCACATTTCAGAATTTCACACTGGTCATTGTCGTTTGAAGATTGCAGCGCACCATTTGTGTAGTTTTACTACAGAGATCTGACCTCGTGTTTCGGATGGGTGGTATGTTCCCAGCTCTTTTATGCAGTTGTATGACCAGTTCTACTTATATATTGAAATTTTATATTATCTTATCAACCTGAAAACTTTTCTAGCTATGCAAATTTTACGTCCCAGTGGGCCATACTTTAAATACGTTTTGGCGACTTACAAAGTTTAAAGGTTTCCAGGTAAAAATATATTACTCTGACGAACTATCAGTTAACTGGAAAACGTTACCTAGTTACAAAATTAAAAAATAAAAGGAATTAAGCAACAGTGAGATGATAGTTTGATGTGAATGTTTTTTCCTTCACAAATAGAACTCGCGTTTGCGCTTGCTTTTACGCCTGTTACCCCTCGTCGAGGAGCATAGGCCGCTCACCAAACTATTACAGCAGAAAAAGGTTAAGTTTTGATTATTAAGATTCAGGTTAGTATTGTGAGTTAGGGTTATCACCCTACAGAATCTTCATTAACTGAAGCAAGCGATGATGCTCAGAGGTTAGGGTCAGGTATTGAGAGTTAGACTTTATTTATTTAAACACATAAATATTGGTACGAGGAAGCACCAGATACATATGCGCCGCACAAATCATTCGATTCGTGTGAGGGCTGTGATACTGCCCAAGTGCCCAAACTGAAACAGGTGGTTTTCTTAGGGGGCCACAACGAATTTGTGTGGCGCATATATATTTAATGCCTCCTTGTACCAATGTTTATGTGTTTGAATGAATGAACAAATTACTTAATTAAATAATAAAAGCCAGAACAGTATTTTGGATCACACACAAATCAATTATAATTACTACTGAAAAGATCACTCTTGATTCAACGCTCATCTAGATAAATCACATTCATAATCATTTGATGACATTCGTTTTTATTTCTTTTATAATTCGTCACTTATGTATCCCTTTTTATTATCGTTTTGCACACTTTATCTTTCAACTTATTCAGCAGATCATCTATGGTGGAAACTGTCTTATCTAAACGATCCCCATAACTTTCTTTCTGCCTATTAGTCAGTCAGTCAGTCAGCTACAACGTAGGACCAGGCACATATATGCATCGGTCCAAGTTGCCAAACCTCGTTAGCACAACAAGATGAACACCGGATTCATAGAAGTAATTAATTCAGTGGTGGTAGTAGTATATAAATTATAGGTTGTATATAAGGATATAGTACAGGAAGGAAGAGAGATATGAAGCAATTTTAATCCCAAGGTTTAAGGGAAGATAAAGAGTGTATACACCTACGCCATTGTGATCGATTCTGTGCCATGTCACCTAGAGTCTCCAACCATTGGTTACGATAGTCATGCGGACCCCAACCAAGTAGTCTGCATCTACCAACACGGCTCAGACTAGAAGTTAGTGACTTCAAGCTCTGATGCCACGTTTTGGTTTGGCCGCCCCTAACTCTCTTCCAACCATCCCCAGTACTAGTCAGCATTGCGCGTCGTGGTAATCGGTGTTCAAGCATACGTAACACGTGTAACAATTCACATTTGGATGGGGAGAAACGCATCCCAAACATCCTGGCATTATTACTGAGTTCCAACAGAAGACTCTGCATTTTGTCAGTGTCTTCACCAAACAGGACTATGTCATCTGCGTATTCTAAGTCGCTTAGTGGTCCCCCTGGTAGGAGATCAATTCCTGTAAATTCAGTCGAAGAGAGTGTTATTTCCAGCAACAGGTCTATAATGAAGTTAAACAAAAATGGGGATAGTGGACAGCCTTGTCGGACACCACTTGAGGTTGTAAAATCATATGACAGTTCGCCATAAGCTCTCACTCGACTGGTAGTGTTCGAGTAAAGAGCCTTCACAAGGTTTATGTACTTCTGAGGTACACCTTTCAATGACAGACACTGCCACGGAACCTCTCGGTCTACAGAGTCAAATGCTGCTTTCAAGTCAAGAAAAACTATCATTGTCGGATGCCGATAAGCGTGTCTGTGCTCTAAAACTTGACGAATGGTGAATATGTGGTCGATACAGCCACGACCAGGTCTGAAGCCAGCCTGATTTTCTCGTGTTTGCAGTTCACGAGTCTTAGTTAAGCCCCCGATAATTATTGAGGCTAGTATTTTAGATACTATGTTGGTCAGACTAATCCCTCTATGGTTATCGCAGGATGATTTTGACCCCTTTTTATATATTGGGACAATCAGTGATTGTGACCAGTCGGATGGGATTACATCCGTCTCCCAGATTTTAGCCAGAATATTAGTCAACCTAATCGCTAAAATCGGACCACCATATTTAAAGACCTCTGGAGCCAATCCATCTGGACCAGCTGCTCTTCCTCGTTTCAGATTACCTATAGCCTTTTGAACTTCAAGTAGGGTCGGGGGGCCTACTTCAATGTTCCATTCAGGTTTTCTAGGAATAGTGGGTAGTTGTGCAGTAGCTGAAGGCCAGCTACACTGCTCCTTAAAGTGTTCCGCCCATCGTTCTAAACGTTTGGGTTGAGAGCAGATAAGGGTTCCGTCTTTTTCGGAGATTGTCTCACACTTGACTTCTTAATTCCGGTTTCTTTTATTAGTCTGAATAGTTGCCTGGTGTTCCCTACAGCTGCTGCCTTTTCCATCTCTTTTGCTTTCGTTGCCCACCACTGCTCACGATCGTTCCTTAGACTTTTAGTTAACCTAGATCTAATTTCTCTACGCTCTTCGTCATGTTCAGAGCCTGATGGAATGAGTTTACGCGAATCCATCAGTGAAATAGACTTAGAAGAAATCCATTGGTTTTTTGGAGCCCTATGGTTTAAATGACTAATAGATGTTACCGCTGTTTCCACAGCTGTTCGTATGTCTTTCCAAGCAGCATCTGTGTCAGTCTTGTTTACAGAACTGCCTAGATGTGAACTCAGGTGTTTCTGGAATTCGCATTTGGCTTTCTCGTCCTCCAGTTCAATCCTAATGGGTCTTCTTAGTGTACTTTTCCTGCGTCCATTGGGGCGCAAACAAATGCGCGCTCGTATTAAAGCGTGATCAGAGTCTAAACAAGTATTCCAATACGAGCGGCAATCTTGTATTGAGCCTCTCCAACGATGACTGATGACAATATGGTCTATTTGAGTCCATCGTTGGTTTGGTGCAGGTGGTCGCCATGTTAGACGATGTCTCTCCTTATGTTTAAGATTAGTGCTTGCTAGAAATAAACGATTGTCTGAGCATAGTTGAAACAGACGATCTCCATTATCGGTTCGTTGAGCCGGAATACTAAAATACCCACCTAAATGTCTTTCTGTTTGATTCAAACTGCCTAATTGGGCATTAAAGTCACCCGCTACGAGCACTATGTCTGAGCGCTTAGCTTTCTGAAGAAGCTCAGAGAGTTTTCTGTAAAAGTCATCTTTCACTTCATCATGGCTGCAGTCAGTGGGAGGTAGGCAGAAACGACGAAAAGGCAACGACTTGTGTTCCTATCCTTCCGAGTTCTTACGGAGCCATTTAGCCGGACAGCACACAGGCGACTGTTAACGGGGATCCATTCTAGTAGTGCCTGTTCTGCCCTTGTACTTAGTGCTATGCCTACACCTGCAAGTCCGCGAGAACTAGCCAACGAGTCGCCAGATACACGGAGAGTGTATTTCGTTGGCTGTCCATTTTGGCGAGGTGAGGTCAAGTGAATGACCACACTGGGATCCTGTATGCGTGTTTCGGAGACACAGCATACATCAATGGTACGAGATTCTAGGGTTTTTAGCTAAGGAGGCCTGTTGACCGATTTGGCATAGGGTACGTACGTTGAAGGCTCCAATGTGTAGTTTGGAGCGAGGTTTTAGTAGGCCTGGGACGGCGTTTCACGCACTAGAATCGTTGGCCATGGTGACACTTGAGGAGGAAACCGAGTGAGGAAGTTTAGTGTTGAAAGTCAAGGTAGAAGGAATAGTAGGAATTGAAGAAGGAGATTGATTATGAATACAGTGGTCTTGAGTGCTGTTAGAGGTATGAGGGCAGTTATCACTTCCCGGTTGCCCACACCGTGGAAGGGTTCTTCTAGAGGTACCTGAATAGGAAATTGGGTTAGAAGTGGTCTTAATGACGTGAGAGCGTGACCGCAGTGTTGAAGGGACAACTGCTTGAGGTCGATCACACACGACCTTTTTGTGGGTAGTTTTTGTGTTAGCTCCATTCTTCAAAAAAAAACCTTACCGCCGGAGACGGAAATCCGTGGGATAAGGCGAGGTGTGCATTTTTAGGGTCGACCTTTTCTAACCCCACCCCTCCTTGTGGGAAGGCAGCATCGCTGTCATGCTGGTTGTCTGAAGGAAACACCTTACTGCCGTCACACCTCTGTACAGTCAGCAGTACGACTTCGCCTTCGGACTTTGGGTTTGCTGCTTTTAGTCTCACCGCTCTTCAACCGACCTGTCTGGCATGGTAGGACCTCGAGGAACAATTGTTCCAGCCAGCATATCTCGATTGGTTCATCACGATAGGCAAGCCCGACCACCACGTCAAGGTAGCAGCAACGGTCTATACCATATCCTTATATACAACCTGTCTTTTATATATTACCACCACCAAATTAACTACTTCTATGAATCCGGCGTTCATCTTGTTGTGCTAGCGAGGTATGGCAACCGATGTATATATGTGCCTGGTCCTACGTTGTAGCTGACTGACTGATCTCAAGTCGCTGACTGGTTGAAAGCTGAGTGCTACGAATACTAAACCAGTCTTTCTGAAACCACGTATGCCATTCAAACTGTCCTCCTTCAACGTTCGCACACCAATGCAAATCAGACAACAGATAGGGTTGACTATGTCATTAGAAAGTCTGAATATTGACGTCTGATGTCTGTCCGAGACCTGTTTTCAAGACTAGTGAAGTACTACAAATTCGCTCTCCATCTGTCGCTTCGAAGAGCTTGTTTTACGCGCGTTTACCCTCAGACCCTGTGGCATCGTCTGGTCTTGCTGACGTTGATGTCTCATTAAGCTCGAGAGCTGAGACAGCACTGATCGATTGCATCCCCATTAACAGTCAGCTATATGCTGTTTGATT